AAAAAAAAAAAAAAAAAAGAGCCTGATCAGTTGACAGAAGATCTCAAAACAAGTCAAAAGACTAATTATGGCATACAGTTTTTACTGCCTATAATTACTTAGTGCTGTTAAAAACCACTTGTTTACCAACACAAAAACTACTGTGTGATAAACAGTGTAGAACTTTTTCGGTTATAGCACTACCTATCACAACTTTCTGTATCACTTTTATTTTCTTAAAAATAAAAAAGTTATAGTTATTTTAAAGTTACAATTACACAAAGGTGTCGTCGAACAAATTATTATGACTACTACATAAATTTTTTTTTTTTTTTTTTTGAGTGGGAGATCATGTGGTTAATAATGTGCGGTTCACGATTTATATGTATGAAAGCTTACCATTAATTTATCTGCCAGCTAAGGAATTTTTTTTTGCCTTAGTTTTTAATTTTCTTTTTTTACTGTAGTCAGTTGTTTAGTGATAATTTTAATACATTTTATGGTTACAGAACCAAAATCATTTTCTTCTTTTTACAATCGCTTTACTGTTCAAACAGAAGAATATAATACCTAAGTTCTGTCGTAACAAACTATTTATTTAGTTTAGTCACTGAGAAGTATGTATTTAAAACGTTCTAAAGAGTTTAGTCTTAAAGCAGGCTTTGCAAGATTTTCGTTTTATAAGCTTTCTTACACTTTTTTATTGACCTGAAAGTCAAGCTCTTTTTTGTTTTTTTTTCTTTCTACTTTGCTCTTTTTTAATGGTAAAATAATTAAATTTATAAAAAATTGAACAAGTAATGAACGCAAAGTCCAGACGGCAGAAGCTTTCACATAATCAAAAGACAAGCTCTTGCTTGTCTTAGTTTTATTCGTACAGCAAAAACAGTGTTCTAGTGATTTGTCGAAAAGAGGTAATATATAGTTGTTCACACATACTTTGTTATAAAATTTTTAGCTCAGCGTGCAGACTCAACATTTTAGAGAAATGGTTACACCCATTTCTCAGTTTCTTCGAATACTGTAGGCTTCGAAAATAAAAATATCTGCTGTAATTATGCTGACAAAGAGTAACAGCGACATTAAAGTTCAGAACTTAGCAGTGCTTGAAAAATCTACCATGTAATTATTGAGGGTGTGCCTGCAACCCAGGTTTTTATGGCTCTTAAACCGTCATTGTAGTCTTCGCCAATGTCAGCTGCCGATTCTTTTAACCGTTACAATCAAGAAGTAAATAAAAGTCAAAGACAGATGAAGTTCAAAGAACGGTGCTGATATCACAAAAAAGTATGTGTAATCATTTTGTTGTTTAAACTGTACAGAGAGCCAGTCTTTTTACCAAATATTCTTGGTTTATAATACTTTTTTTTTTTTGAATAATTGATGATTAATTAAAAAATGATCTTTCTAACAACAATTTTTCTTATTTCTTTTTTTTAACGTACTTGACAAAAAAATTTCTTGAACATTTGTAATTGAACTCTCTTATCAATTATTATTTAAACTTTTATCATTTCTGTATTTGAAGTTTTGTAAAACTAGCTACTTTTTGTTGATCGTAACCCTTACTATTACCAAAAACTAATAATGCAGAAGCAGTTTTGCGTAGTTGAAACATCTTTACTCACTGCAGAATTATTGTTTTTATTTGAAAAAAAAAAACGTTATAGTTACTGCCAAATTCTTCCTGTTCTAAACCAAGTTTTTTTGATTTTTATATCAAACACTCTTCCTGTTCGCTTAAAACGTTATCCTATCCAAAAGCAACCTCTAAAAAATTGAAAAACATCATTTTTTATGCGGTAGTGCATCCAGATGTCATTAAAATTGTGCATTGATTTTATTTATCATGTCAACTGCAAATAATTAAGTCAAAAAAATCAGCTGTTTTACTAAATCTTAAAAAACACTTTTTTAGTCAGCATCAGAAACTTACGGAGCTGTCAGTTTCGTTCAACGCTTCCACAAACCTCTTTAAAAGCTAGCTGTAGACTTTACTACTACTTAATTAGCCTAATGCTTTTTGCAAGGCTAACACGGCTTTCGTAATATTTTAATATTACATCTGTTTTCCAAATAAAACTCTCGATGTTAAGACATGACGTAATCTAACGCACGTTGCAATCTTTAACAAACGGTGGTTTCAGAATTAGTATTTTTTTAAATTATGATGTCACTTAACAGTCTTTACTTTTTCCGGATACAACTGAGGCTGTTTTAAACTTCAAAAACAAAGCATTAAAAAAAACAAAGCACTCATAAATTAAATGCTTATCAATTGTTTGTGAATGACTGTTAACTTTGGCTGTCTGCAACAAAGCATTCTATTAGGCTTAAGAAGAATATGAGAATGGGTAAACGTTTACACGCTATGTGCCATTTTTGGAGACTTTATTAAACGTCTAATTTTCACTTATCAAGGCTTCAAACACTAAATGCAAAAAGTGTAAGCATTTTTCTTCTTCGTTACCCGTTACTTTCAGTTACCAGCAGCAATCTATAATTCAGAATGTTGTCAAAAAAAAATTGTTTTTTAGCCTAAATAAAAGTCGTTGGACTATTTTAATAGTTTTAGAAACTGTAACATAAAGTATACCAAAAGAAATTATACCAAAAATACCTTTTACATCAAATGTGTTTTTTTCATTACCCACGGTTACACAATAAATTTTGCAATTACAAAATATTTTTAATTTTTTTAAGCTTACGTAAAATAAAATTACAGAAGTTAACAATCACAAACATTCAAAAAGAGCACTTAAAGTGCAAATCTTTTTTGAATGTTTTGATACTGTAAATTGTATTATGAAAAACAAATTTTGTTGCTTTTTGAACCTGATAAACATCTGACTAATTACGACAGCAGATAGTTCAAGGTGATGAATAATTGTTAGCACGTACGAAGAACATTAATCATAGTACATATGAGTAACAGACACCCTAAAATGTTTACTTTCTACAAATAATGCAGCAGAATTATCGCTCTTCATTTCATAAAGCTTGACGAACACATTAAAAAAGTTAATGCAACAGAAAAATCATCAAGACACTAAAATAATAGAAGCAAACAATTTTGAACAATGCATCTAAAGAAGTAAATTACAAAACAACTTTAATAGAATACAAGTGGCTTTTGCTTTATCTTAATTTTAAAATGAAACATCAATTCAAATAGCCACACTATGAAGTAAACAATTTATGCAACTAGAATTTGCTTCTCGTTTACAAATTTTCTATCCGAACCAAGTTTGAGCTACCTACTACTTGGAAATGGCCATCTACGTAGACCACCTCGCCTCATCTTCTTTGGACGTCGATGATACAACTAACCTGCCGTTTAGCTTTTTTTTTTTTCTTTACCAATTTTGAGAATAAAGTAACGAAACATAAGGAACCGACTGCGACAAATGATCATTGATAAGAGCATTACCTTTGTTTTGTCAAACGTTACTTGTATTATGCACTTAAATGCATCTTCGCACTTATTTAGAAAAACCCCTGCTTTTTTCAGCTTACTGATAAAAGTCATAACAAACATATAAAAAGGTATCTTACTACATACTTAAAATTAGTGCAAAGCTGATACTTTTTTTCTACAGCACTTAAAGCAAACTTCGTTTAATTTTGTTATAAAACTTTTAGCTTTTAAGTTTTGTTGCCATGTACAAGCGTTCAAAACTTGTTTAAAACCTGTTATATTATCGAAGAACTCTAAACGAGAAAATTTTAAATTCTTGTCTTTTTTAAAACTTCTTCAAAAAAAGAGATCAAACTTTTTTACTTTTCAGTCTTTTGATTACTAAAGCATTTTGATGACATTTCTAGAAACATAACATCTTTTTTAAATTTTTTGACTGTTTTTTTCTTCTATTCTGTTCTTTTTTTTTCAACGGTAGAGGGAACTCTGCAGTTCCCTTAGTTACTGCTTGATGTGTGTAAGTCGCAGAGTGGTGTTCATAATTTGGTTTTAATGAGAATTCTATAACGTGAGTGAAATCCAAATCTGTCTTAACTGTGAAGATATTTTGGTTGATTAAACCTTATGATATAATTTACAAAAAAGACTTATAATTTCTATATTATGAATTTTTTTAACTGATCGTTGGTCAAACAAAATTTTAAAGCAATTTCGAAATATCTTCAAAAAATGAAATTTTCTCAAAGGAAAATAGAACTTCGACATCAGTAACCAAACACAATAAGTCTTAAAATTAACAGTAAAATAATTACTAATTTCTATAAAGATCAAGCAAAAAGAAAGACAAATGATAACCTCATTACAATTTAGCTGTATAATCGGTATATGCCAAGACCAAATTCATTTTAAAATAATAAACTTTTTCAAAATGACAGCTTTTTTCCATCTAGATTCAATTTCCAAACGTTTATACCAGACTCGTAATTGGTAAATTTGCTGCTTAAATTTCTTCTGAAGCTGACGATACAGCTTCATGCGTTTATTATCAACGTGAATGCAGTTTTCTTTGACATATTGAACCAATTTCTTTTTGACATATTAAGCTAAAATTTCAGTCATTCTAACTGAAAAATTTCATTGAGAGAAAATGAGACAAGCTGTTATTTTCATCGCTCTTTCTGTAACTTTCACTCAAGCGATGGTATGCCCAGTCGGTTGGGAGCGGTACACGGGAACCGCTGACACCTGCATTGCAGCATACAAGAAGGAGATGTCCTGGTTGGATGCTAACAATTTTTGCAAAAGTCTTAGAGCGGATTTGGTGTCTATCCACAACTCTTTCCAAAACCTTCACGCTGCAAGTAAACGCTCCATAGTTTTTTCAGCACAAAAAACAAACTTTTGCAAATTTTATTTGTTTCGTCCTCTTTTCCCACTGTAACTATAAAACTCTTGAGGGTGACTGCTTTCTTTTGCAGCCATAGCCGAAAAAAAGTTTGAGGCATGCAGATACTGGATCGGACTATATAATATCGATAAAGACAAAAAGTTTAAGTGGACTGACAAAAGCTCGGTTGATTACACAAACTGGTTACAAGGTGTCTTTTAGTCTAAACGATGCAAAATATGAATTGTTACAATAATCTAAATTGGCTGCGCAGCAATATTCTGTAATTGTAGGTGAACCGCCATCAGTTGCTGAGGCAACCACAGTTTATATGTCATTGCAGTCTCGTTTTCGATGGGTTACAACCACCGAAGTTGCTGAGAACAACTGTTTTATCTGTGAAAAGCGCTTTAATGTTCGTAACAATCGACGTTAAAATAAAAAGTGTTCAAAGAGACATGTTTTTACTGTACGAGGCAATTGAATAAACCAAAAAAATACATTAAAATTCGTCAGTTAAGTGAAGAAAAACTGCTTTCAATAAATATAATAATAGTTAATACCAAACTGTAAAGAGCGCGCGTCTTCAGATTACTTTTTAAAGTATTTCTAAGGTGACAGCAGCACCTGAAATTGAAAGACTAATACTAAACAAATTTCAGGAACCTTCTACTAATCCGGAATCGACAACAGAAACATTTGAATCACCCTCTACAGGAGCACCCACTGAAACCATTGTTGAGACTTTTAAACCAAATTATTCCACTGAAAAAAAGTTGACAACAGAAAATCCTGAATCATCCTCTACAGGAGCAGCACCGGTTGAAACCAATGCTGGAACGTCTAAGCCAAGTTATTCCACTGGAAA